AGCTATACTATATTGTATGATATAAACTTTTAATAAACATAAGAATATAATACAGTTTATAATAGAATAATTCATAATTCATAATAAAATTTATAATTCATCTCTCGTAAATAAATAGTCTGGTGCTCGCACGGCTGCAATAAATTCTATCTTTCCGTTTATTTCAATTATGTACAAAAACGGACGGTCTACGACCAACTCCTGCGGCAGACCTACCGATTTTTTTCCTCTTCTTCTGATAAATGTAACTAAAAAATTTTTGTAATGCTTACAGTATTCGTTTAAAGTTTTTTATTATTCACAGATATATAAAGTTACCTCTTGGAATTGTTGAATCTTCTTCGTTAATCTTCACGAAAACTTTTTGAACAATATCGTTCACTTTTAGAGGAATATTTGAGAGACGTCTAAAATTTGCATTATTCTCGAACATCGTAGTTACGCGCATCTATAAGCAATTATCAGTTTTAGTTTCTAAAATTTATCAAAAATTCTTCTCACGTATCAGTTGTAAATAGATTTTGCTGATTACAATACTTACTCGATGAAAAAAATTTGTCATATTTTGAGTATATTGAATCGTAAACTTTGGTAAATATAAATCCATATCTTGCTCAAGTTTGTATGCAGTTCTAACTGATTGAAATTCTTTAAACCTAAACTTTTCTAATAGGTACTCCAGGTTCCCAATTTCCATCTTTTCATTTGGCAAAAATATAATCATTGTGATTTTGTCATTCTGTAAAATTATATTTTATTCAATATTTAATTTTTGATGTCCTGTAAGATTATTTTTTGATTTAATATTTTATTTTTGAAAGTTTTCTTATAAATAATAATTATTTACCAAAGATGGAATTTCAATGAACTTGCAATTCCAATGTGGTATTTCACCATAACTAAACATCGACTTTTTAAATTTAATTGTTGGAACAAAATACATTTCTGATGGAGAAATATGAAATATGCGGTCCACTGTTTTTCCTTTTCGGAAGTTTGGCCATTCAATATTAAGGTACACAGTATTTATCAACATAATTTTCGTATCCTCGTCGATATTATCTGTTCATATAAAGTATTTTGTTGTTGAAAATGTACTTTGCAGAAATTATAATTTATTTATATTTTATTGTTAGTCAAATGATTTACACAATATACCTGGAGAAATTACGTGTAATATCTCATTATTTGTTGTTTTTTGTACCCATGAATTTATAGTTTCTGCAGCTTGCACCTTATTTCTGAAATCTACTTTTGAAATCGAACAATGAAGCTTATTTATGCATATTGATAAAAAATCTGCTCCTAAATCAACTGACTTTTGAACATATATTGCATTTTCTAGATGTAATTCGATGTTTTTGATATCCTAAAACATATAATTTATATATAATTTGTATTATAATTTTGTACTATAGTATATTTCTTTAATTCTTTACCGTACATTTAAGAAAGTAAATTCAGATAGGTATATGTCGTTTAAAGATATTTTATCAATAGTATTCCAAAAAGACATCAATTCATTCCCTGTAGATCCTTCTTTAGCGCCGTTTGCAAGTAAGGTCGTTATCATTTTTAGACTTATATTACTAAATGCTGTGTTTTCCCCTATAAATTCATGCTGCGGCAAAACATAAATAAAAAATTAGGGAACTTAAAACTTATATAAGATACAAATACATATATTACATACTATATACGATGGTTCTTTTAGACTCCATATATCCTTTAATTTTACATATGTTACAATCGCTGTAGATAGATTAGTAAATATATCTTCATTATTTATGCTGCTCAATAACATATCTTCAAACATTAATGCATCGAAGGTACACACAATGTTAGCAACGATGACTGCAAATAATGCTGTAAGAAAAATATGTTATAAAAACAGGAAATAGCGGTTATTTTATAGTATACTAATAATTTATGGCTAAACTATTAAAATTTATACATATAAATTATGTATATAACTATATGCATATTATTATTATTATAAGAAACACTTTTTAATAGTGGGGTATTATTACCTGTGCGCATTGTGCAGAATTCCAGTTCTATGAAATATGTATAAAAAATATATATCTATATAAGTATATATATTTATTGAGTAAATTGAACGATAAATTATTAATTTTATTATGTGTGTTACATGTATGTATATAGCTTTTTCTGTTCCTTTCTATATTTTTTTCTATTTGCCAAGAATCCACAGTTATTTTAAATAACGAGCTAAAATATTTTGACAAAGCTTCAAAATTCAGGAATTTAGAATTGGAAAATTATTTGGTTTAATTTTAATCGAAAATTCTCTTCTTTTAACATTGATTAGTTGCGTTGTATTTGCGCCAACTGTTAAAAAAAACTAATAAAATCAAAAAAACTATTAAAAATAACTGAGAAGGAAGAACACATTATTTTGAAATAAAATTCAAGTTAATCTCACGTGATTTTAGACGATCTCACTTCAACAACGTCGTCTTCCAACTTTAGGAAAAATTTTCGAATAAGATTTTCAATAGCACTTCTGTTACAATGATTGGGAATAATTGATACTATCGATGATGGCACATGACTGCTTAATACTGTGTCTACCTGTGTCTCTATAACGATCGTCAGCAGTATTGTCGTTTGCGGTGTCGTGTAGAGGTGACTAGAATTGAAAAAGGAGAAAGAGAGAAATAGAGATGATAAACATTTTTTTGTTATTCTTCTCGAAACTCACGATTTACCAAATGTATGTGTCTTAATATATAATCTTCTTAATTTAAATTTTATTTTAGTAAATAGAAGTTTTATTAGTTTTTTATACAAATGATAAATGTTTTTAAAATTGTTCATAATCTACGAATCATACATATAAATGCTGTAAAGTAGTTTTTCGATTGCTGCATGTTTATATTTTTTTAAGATAAGAATACTTTTTTTTCATATAAAATTATAAATTATTTATTTACAGTGATAGAAAATAAACAAAGAGAGTTTGTAATAAATAATTTCATATATAAAATATATGATTATAATGATGTAGCTTGTTATACATCCACAGTTATAAAGTATTTAAAATATAAAAGATGTGTGTGGAAAGAAGTTAAAGAGAAAAATAGAGCGGCAGAGCGTATTCGCCTGATGTCATCACATTGATGCCATATGTCTTCGACATTAAAAATAAAATTTGAATAGATGCTTGAAAAATTTATTAATGTATATATTTTGAGATAACATATTATAAAATATAATTATATCAGTTAAAATATTATGATATTGAAAAATTTAATATGATTATTAGCAAGCATTCATGGAATGGAATTATACAAGACTTTATTCCAGTATAATTAACTCAATGTTTTGCTCATCTTCAGAAAAACAAATCTGGAATTTTTGTAACGCTAAAGATTCGCAGATCTTTGAACTGATTAATATATTTTATGACCAAGTTAAATTAAAATAATGGTAACCGATTGAATCCACCAGCGATCGCCAATGAAACGCTGTAATACCATTGGCGATCCATCAGCTTATGTGTGTGTCTCTTTTTGATGTTTTTAAAATCGAATTTTTCAGTATCATAGATTTTGTAGATAAAATCGCTCGGCCTTCTAGTAAAGCCAGGAAATATTGCACCAAAGATATACAAATTAAAGAAACGTTTATTGCACATACAAGTATGTACAATTTAATGTAATTGAATAATTACAATATAATCAATAAAAATTCACAAATTTAAATAATCGCGGGATAATAATAGCCAGAAGTATATTGTAGTACGTCAGTTTCATAGAAAAATAAGTTGTCTATGATGTGCAACTTATCGTCGGGCAAGCGAAAGACTCGGATTCGATTCGCGATTCAGCGACTTCGTCCCGATACTTTTCACACCTTCGTCTTTCCTGGGGGGTAAAACAGGATTATTATAAATCTCGAATTAAAATCAATTTACATTTGGTATAAGATCAAGTAAATTTTCATGCGCTGTGTACATAATCAATTCCATAAAAAACTTATTTTTTTATGAAACTGACGAGCTACTATCCGCTACCGTCTGGCTCTTACTAGCCCGCGATTATTTAAATCCGTTTAATAAATTATTTTATATTACATTTTAAAATATATTTTACATTAAATTTTGTATTATAGTTTGTAATATATATTTGTAATATAATTAATACTCTATATTAAATATATAGAATTAATTATAATATGTATCTTG